ACCAATACTGGTCTAAGTGCATGGGGAAACCCACCCTCTCCAATAACTAATTAACTAACTAACTAACTAACTAACTTATGGTCTCCATTTTCAGGGTACAAAAATCCGCGAGAGAGGAACCAACCTTTGCAGGTGGCTGCACCTCACTTTGGTTCGCTCGCGGCTGTGACAAGAGAACCTGAGCGCCGGAAGCTGAAGAATCTGCAATTAGTTAAATCCGTTGTCAGGAAACGACTACTAGAGACTGTAATATCTTGAGGACACTAATCTGTGTGTGTCAGTGATCTGGAAAGTGTAGTTCCGAGTGGTGTATACAAGTGGTCAACAAATCCAGTATCCAACCCATATCCCTTCTATAGACATACACACCCCTCAATTAGTGACAGTAGTAATAGGAAAGGAAGTTAATGAAAGAAGGGTTTTCTAATTATAAGTTTATACTAACAAGTCATGCTAGCTGCAAACAAAGAGGAAGTTTAAATAATATATATATATAGTTGTCTTTATGCTTAATTAAGTAAGCACCAGACCATGAAGACGTATCGGGCAGTGAGGTATAGCTCCACCATTCTTGATCTCTTCACTAGATGGGGTGAATGGTTAGCTTCCTGCTCCACTCGCTATGTCCCCACAGTAAGAGCCCTCGGTGACCAATGAATAGGAGGCTGGGTGACCCCCAGAGCCGACCTGATCACTGTGGAGAAAAACTTGCACCTATCGGGAATCGAATCGCGGACGTCTCTATACCTATACACTGGTATACTGGTTCATAAGCGAGCGGAGAAATAGCCGCTATGGCTACAGCCATTTCAACGAATTTACTTTCAAACCTTCGGAATGTCCTTTCATTTTTCTTAGGTGAAGGACCTCGGGTTTACAGCTTGGTATTGTGATATTTTGTCGGTTATTGTGGTAAAGCCTTATTTTGCTGCAGAAATATTTATAGTCCTTTCACAGAAGTAACGCATTCATTTGTCAGATGTAGTACTTCAAGTGACAAAAGGTTCCCTGCCGAATAAAATAAGGAAAGGATTTATCCCAACCTTTACTAATTTTAACGTCGAAGTTCAGTTCTATCTTGTGGGATACAACGCCGAGTATTGTCCTTTGAAGATCTACTGATAATTCGAAGGTACTTGTCGCCTCTGTCTCCAGCGCTGCTTGCTTCATGTTGGTCCCTTCCTTAGCCTACTTTTTCAACCCTGAAATGGAGGTGACATTCCTCCGAAACGTCAGTTGACTTTCAACGCATTGTATCGCAGACGATAGAACTTGTGGGAACTGCCCACATTCAAGCAAGTGTGACAACGCGAGCTTCATTGCTTAAGAACGACGAGTAAACAGCGGTTGCTAGGTAAAAGCCTACAACAATACGGAGAGTGACATGTTTTCTATATGTCCGACTCTAGGTTACATAAGAAGATACATTGAGTCAGTGGAGGCGGGGTCGAATACCTCCACCGTGACCCTGCGAGTCGTAGGAGGCGACGAAAAGGGAAGTCTCAATTCTGAGACAGTAAAATATGGTCGCGAGGCCCAAGGGACTCGGACCCGAGTAAGACTGCGCTGGCAAGGACGAGCAGCGTATACAAAAGACAGACCCGTCCTCTCGTCAGAGAAGGCGCCCCACAGAAACAAGACCGTAACGGTCAAACGATAATAATTAATATCCGGTCATGAGCCCCAAATGGGGCTCGACACCAAGACTTACTGACTGACTGACCGTCAGTCGCAATGTAACTNGTAGGGGCTCGACACCAAGACAGACAGACTGACTGACCGTCAGTCGCAAGTGACTTTGACTTTGACTTTTGGAAGTTTACAGTTACAGTTCTAGACTTCTACAGTTCTACGATTCTAGTTCAGTGTTCAAGGAGTTCACTATTATTATTAATATTCTTCAATTCTTCAAACGCAAGTTCGTCTGTGTATACTGTGCAACTGTAATAAATACTACAGGACAGTTCAACTAGTGGTTGTCTCTCCATATAATGACATCCCACAAACTCTTCATAATCACAGCTGTGAGAAACTCAAACCTCATGCAATTATTTATGGTTTATTTCAAACACCTCTCAGTTAACTCAGACTGTGCAGTTTGCAATGCTAGGACGATTACTGTTGTATTCTGTGTTAGGACGTTGCATTCTGTCCTCCAAAGAAGAGAAGGCCTGGGGCCTCTAGTGTATTCTGTTCAAAATGAAAACTTCAGCAATATTTTCAGACAAATCTTATCGTTGCTACTGGTTTACGGAGCCATAGATATCCCTAAATGAGTCATATGAAGGTGCATGCCATTTGCCTCGTCTTCTCTCTGTTGGGGGACAGCAGGCAGGTACGTTGTATCAATATTTCGGAGGGACATAACTGCATTTAAACAACAAACCTAAGAAACAATTAATGATCCAGAAGTGGCCGCAGTACAAGGGACTTAGTCCCACCCCACTAGCAATAAGAAAAAACCATTAATGATTAACGAGTACACATTCAATTGTAAGATTTAAGGTTTTCACAGCGGTGATTATGAAGAATGCCGTCTTCTGGGACGTGGCTTTCGAAAGAACGTCAGTTCACACAAGATCTACATGGCGCCACATCCCAGGAGGCAGCATTCTTCACATGTTAACTGATTAACTAAATCACTGTTCTACTTGTATGAATAGCATTCCACAATGTAGAAAGTTTATTCTGTATTTTACAAATGCTGAAGAAGTGTTAATAATCATCGTAGACACGGTGCATTTTCAGGTTGTAATGAATAAAATATATGTTCAAATACTGATGAAAGCATGCAGCAAATAACCTGGGAATATCATAGGTTCATACTGAGTGGTACACTGGTTACCGTTACCAAGTCTGGATAATTGGCGCCCTCGAATAGTACTAATTTACGTCGCCTTAAAATACTGCGTATATTTAAGAAATTACTCTCATACATAATTTCAAAGCTCGATACCAAGTGTCGCTACTGTTCTCATCCCGTAAATTACGCCATCTTGGTGCTGATGGTGACATGCAGATACAGGAAGTGCCCTCAGATGTCTTGAAATACGTAAATCAAATCAACGTGTAGAGAAATTATGTTCAAAATATAATCAGGCGATGGATAGACGGAGAGGCACTCCTAATTAACGGTGTTCAGTAGGGACTGATTGCGTTCATAATATCATAAATCCATATTCCTCTGTAAGAAATAGCAATTGACATAAGGTAAGGTAAATTTGTCCCTGTAAGTAAAGTAAGTGACGGTATCCCTGTAATGGGCAGTGGAGGCCCACAGGGTTGTGAGACGTCGAGGCTCCCACATTTTCCAGATAATCGGGTCACAGATGGCGGTGAGGTTGTCAGCCTTACGCGCCGACAGCCTTTTAACCCCAGGAATATTCCTGGCACTCATTTCTGTTAGAGGCTGAATCGACCCCAAGGCCATAGTGTGGCTGGAAGGATTAGGGAAATTGAAAAAATCCACCTCATCGGGATTCGATCCAGCCACCTTCCGGCTTGTAGCATAGTGCCTCGACAAACTACGCTACCGCGTGCCCCTTAAAGTTGTCCCTGTGCTTAACTAATTAAGCACTCCGTTATGAAGGCGTATGGGGGAGTAGATATATAGATCCACATTTTCTTGGCCTCGGCACTGCTGGAGGTGAGCGGTCAGCCCCGGCCGCTTTACCCCCGGCGAAAGAGTCGCCGGTTCCCATTGAACAGGAGGTTGGGTGAACCTCAGAGCCTGTCTTAACGGCGTGGAGAAAATTATTGACCCTACCAGGACTCGAACTCTGATCCCTCGGTCGTCCAGCCATTAGCCAGTCGCTACACCAGCTATGATATCCCGGCTCCCAGCAATTAACATAAATATTTCTTTCCCTTTTTGGCAGAGTTATTAAGCACCGAGTAAAATAATGTCCTACATTATTCATCGGAAAATTTCCAGTATAGGAAAGCGTTTTAAAAATAATTTTATGCTGCCACGATCTACATACTTTAACATTTTCCGTTAACATGTGCCACTTAAGAAATCCACGTTTTTATTCAGAATTTATGATGAAGAATTAAATGTGTCCTATTCAAATGGGTCCCTTTGCTCCCACGTCATGACGCGTCCTCAGGCAGCGGAAAGTAGAGATGGCGTCAACATATGCAGTGTAAGAGAAGGGATCCTGAATAGTTAATCACGGACAGTCAACAAAGGACGATCCTAGAGTTTGAAAGTTGGGCGGGGGCTAACAACTTCATGCAGTAGCGTATGGCAAAACGTTGCACTGGGCCACGAATACAAAAGTGAAACTTCGGGTTTGACAAAAAGATGGACATTTCTTGGTCAGCTGAGCGACTAATTAGCTTATCAAGGAATGTGCTTCACTGACGGAGCTAGTTAGATCAAAATATGACGTACGAGGAAATTGCACGTAACGTAAAAACCACTGACCTCACTGACCTGAATTATCATCTGAAAACGTATTCATGCAGTCAGAACCTGCATTGATTATGGAAGGCATATCAGCGTCACCTCTGCGACTAAGCATCACACCATGAAAGTGTATAGGGGTCGTGGCGGTGAAGCCCCACGCACGCTATTAATCACGACTGTGTAAACTAAAAATAACTAAACTCGGTGTCCTGTAGTCCGCAAGCGAACTATACCTACCGAGGGACCGCCCTTGTCGGTGAAGTTATTGACAACTTTGGCGGAAAGAGGGTGTCACGTGGTCAGCGCAACGGATCCCCACGGCTGTTAATCTCGGTTTTCTAGACCGGAGCCGCTATTTCCTTGAAATAGCTCCTCAATTATCCTCACGAGGCTGAGTGAACCCCGTTCTAGACACACTACTTCTCATAAAATCTGGTAGCGCCTGGAATCGAACCTGGGACCTCTGGATCTCTAGCCAGGAACTCTGACCACTAGAACACAGGCGGTTATCACGGCTGTGTAAGGAAGCTAATTTGTCAGTAAGGAGCTTCGGCTTCTTCACTCAAAGAAAAACAGTTCAGGCACTTACCGGATAGGAGGCTGTGTGGAGCGAGGTACCAGTCTGAAAGTAACGTCCAGGAGGAAATGAAATTCCTTCCTTTCCCAAATATCGAACCCCGATCTTCCAACTCGTAGCCAATCTCGTCATTGGTTCAACTAAAAATAGTATAAACACTCATGTTAACTACTTTTAGAATTTAAAATTAAGTTAAATCTGATGGATACACTAGATAATCTTGATACTGTACTGCATCCTAAGTCGAGCTCATGCATGCAGATAGACACTCAGAATATATGACAGCTCACGTTATGCTGAAATAATGGGATTAACTGGAAATTCGTATTCATGCAGAGTACACATATGTATGTTCCACGTGCTTTTTTGATATTTTCGTACCCCACTGATCCTAATGTTCATTTATTACAGACACAAATCTACTGCTGTCATGTCATTCGCACTATAGATATCATGGTGCACAGAATTGGCCGCCTCTGTGGTCTAGTGGTCACAGTTCACTGGCTACAGATCCAGAGGTCCCGGGTTCGATTCCCAGCGCTATCAGATTTTCTGAGAAGTAGTGTGTCGGAATGGGGTCCACTCAGCCTCGTGAGGATAACTGAGGAGCTACCTGAATGGAAAAGTAGCGGCTCCGGTCTAGAAAACCGAAATTAACTGCCGTGGGAATCCGTTGCGCTGACCACGCGGCACCCTCTGTCCTCAAAAGTTGGCACTAACTTCGCCGACAAGTGGTGGTGTTTTTTTCTGTATAGTTCGCTTGCGGACTAAAAGCCACGGAGTTAGTGCGCAGAATTATCAATAATTTTCCCTTTTCGAAGATAAACGTACTGAAAATAAGATGAAATAAAAGGCTTTAACTTAATGAGATTTATTTCGTGTTACGCAAAAATTATGTACGATGAGTCATTACTTGAGAAATTTTATAAGGCTAAATTTGCGCCTTATGGTATTACAGATTTGTACGTTATTGGTTTGCACAAGAATTTACATGATGACATTAATATATACTTCCAGTAACAAACTGAATCAAAATCCGCTTAATAACATCTGAGTTTAAACAAGGCAATAGTCAAGATCTCCCAATTATGGACTCACTTTATACACGCCGTATTACACTGACAAGGTGGATCAGTGTAAATATACCGTATTTACACATGTATAGGCCGCACATTTTTTGCCAAAAATTCAAGAGGAAAACTGGGGTGCGGCTTATATTCGAAATATTCGAAATCACACTTAATTTAAAAAAATATATATTCATAATTAGTAATACAGGTTGTTCTACTCCTGAAATAATATTCCAAGAAAATTATTTTTTCTATAATTTCTGTCTGAAAATTGTGCTGCGGCCTATACACGCACGCGGCCTATACATGCGTAAATACGGTATTATATTCTTTAGACACAATTCTTTCTGAGCCCCAATTATTTAAGCACCACACCATTAATGTATAAGGGAGAGTGGCGGTACAGCTCCACATATTCTTAACCTCGGCACTAGATGGAGGTGAGAGGTCAGGTTCAAGACTTTACTCTCCGATGATGGGGGGAGAAACCTGGTTTTCCATTGGATAGGCGGCTCGGTGGGCCTCAGAGCCGATCTGGACACCATGAAAGGAAACATCTGTTAGTCCTGCCGGTGACTGAACACCGGTTCCTCTGCCATCCAGTCCACAGCCCACAGCTGTGCCGACGGAGTTGTCCTGGCCCCACAATGTCCTTTATAGAAGCAGTTCTGTTGTTTCCGTTACACGGACATTTGAATTATATTCAGGTTAATATTTATACCGTTTTTCTTAAACCACTAAACTACAGAGTTATTATTAGAGAAATGTCATCTATTTGTTTACCACTGTCGACAACATTCTCCCCAACCGTACAGCATGGGAAAATCATTAACTGCACTTAGAGATGTTGTTTGTCCTGAACCTCTTTCAGAAACTTGTGTATATTAAGTAATGACTCAGTGCAAAAGTTATTCTTGAAATTTCACAGTCACTCAGGTAGTAAAGAAATTTCCCTGAATTTATAAAACCGTAAATTTTATTACTATGTATAAAAGAGCTCGCTCCTGCCCTACCATGGGTGACATAAGTCCAGTCTCAACCATCATATCTTTTTTTTAATTTTAATAAGATCATTATATATTCATGTGGACCCCTCGAGTGGCGGTATCATTTCAAGCGTCCTGTAGACTCAGTTACAAAAGCAATTTTACAATTATGTGCAAATTAAGCAAACAAATCAAATTGAAAAATTAAAGTGAAATTAACCAAACATAAATTCAGATAATGGTATGTACTCACATAACCACGGATTGGATGTTTTTAATTCGGCATTGTCATGTCTTCAACACTCCATTTCTTAGGATATTTAACGACAATGTACCAGCTTTACAGGCTAATCTTCACCATCTGATGAGACGAGGAAAAGGCCAGACAATTCTAACTCGTAAGAAACGGCATAAGTTTTTTTTAATTCGCTTAGTGGGGGGGGTGGAGTCCTCAAATCCCACTTGACTAGACATGGGATCGAACCAGGGCCACCGCAGTGGGAAACCAGCGACTAACCGCTTGAGCCATGGCGCGGCCATGGACATAAGTTAGGTTATAGTTGTATTAAACACTACCTCGGCATACGCCTGGGAGTAGGTGTACTGAGGAAAACCAAGAGAAGTTCCAGTCAAGAGAACATTTATTTGACTAGGATTCGAACCGGACAACCTCCGAGCCTGAGCGTAACGCACTACAGGGGTGCTGCTTCACTCCGGCACATACTACTCGTAGATGGAACAGCTGCGCATGTGTGGTTCGACTCCAGACGTTATTTGAGGGCGGCCGCACACCAACTGTGTCAAGACAAGCATCAAAACATGAGACAAAAGACGCAGTCTTGCTTCATTCGTGATTCGCCAGCAAGAAGCTGACGTCAGCATCATGACTTAGACGGCTGTGCGGTGGTTTTCATACTCTCAATCGTTTCAACAGTGTTCCTTTCTTTGCGTCATGTCGCAGACATTGTTTCTTCACTGTTACATGTCTTGACGCATGCCGGTGTGCGGTCTACCTAACATCGAGACTGGAAGATGATGTGTAGGCAAACATTGAATTATGATATATAGATTGAGAGAGAACTGGCAGTGACCTATGTCAAATAACTGTCTCGAAATTCGTCTTGAACTACTGAGGAAATCCACTTGAAGAGACTGTATACTAGTCGAAATTCAGAGTGGATCATATATCGAATTAGTTCAGACATGTTCCTCGCGGATGAACTTGAGCCAAAAGTGGTATTGGGAGGACTCTGAGTGAAAAATGATGATTCAATTCATAACACCGTTTCACAATTTTCTTTTACTGCTAGTGGGATGGGACTAAGTCCCTTGTACTGCGGCCACTTCTGGCCTATTGTATCAGCCCCAGATGATAGGTGAGGGTGATTGTGGAGCAATTGGTGGAATGAAGATTGGCACGGGAAACCGAAGTACTCGAAGAAAACTTGCCCCAGCGCCACTTTGTCCACCACAAATCCACTTGACCAGACTCGGGATCGAGCCCGGGCCGCCGCGGTGGAAGTCAGCGACTAACCGCTTGAGCTATGGCGCGGCCCTCTGTTTCACATTTAATCCATACAGTGATTTTTATTATGTAAGAATATTATTAAAATTATTAAAATATTAGACTATATATGCATTATCACAATGCTACATGCTTCGAACGTATAAGGCCACGTAGCATTGTAATAATGCATATATAGTCTAATATTGTAATACTTTAATAACATTTTTTATATATAAGGACCACTGTGTGGATTCTGTGAATTAGTGTTGTTAATTTCTGCAATATAGACGGAAACAATAGACTATAAGTAACAGCTCAGTGCAACAGGATGCTCAGATATAATATTATGAAATTGTTGTGATCTATTATATGAAGTTATCTATATATCTTTTTGAATGCAGCAACAATATAAATATCCACAATCAATATAGTCGCTGGTCTGGGTTTGGACGGAGGACTACATAAATGCAAGTTACATGCCTGATGGAGGTTTCAGCCCCCTCTTTTCTCCTGTTCTTGAATTACTGACGTCATGCAGTAAGAATGTATTCAACAGGGCTATTTATATTCATAACTGTTTCCTTTCTCCGTTTTTCCCTGAAATTCGATCTATTTGTTCAGTCTTCTGTTTCACAACATTCAATTTTATTTTTTACTGTTTATCTGTATAACATAAGAGAGGCGGAAAAATTACAAAAATTAGCGTAAAGTAATTGAGCTTACGGACTGTTGAACTAACTACCATTATCGAAAATGATCGTCTGGCGCCTGTAAGCAGGAGACAGACCTGCATTGCCCGACATTTGAGGGCACAATTCTGTAGGACACGAGAGTCAACTATTTTATATAAATCCTGGCTTCAGATTTATGTTTCTGGTTATGCTACGAATCTATACACTAATTGCAACGAACAAAGACCTTCTTGATAAGTTGACAATCACCTAGCAATTTCGGGAGGCAAAGTTTCATTACCGTGTTCACAAGAGCATCACAAATATGACCTCCCCCGAGCCTGATTACTACAAAATAAAACTTCATGCTCCATAAACTTGAATATTGTTCTGATCTTGCCACCTGTGTCTAGAGCCTTTCAGGATTTTGCTACTAAAACTTTGAGTGCCTTTTCGATCAACCCAATTTATGCTACAAGACATAACTTTCTCATCTTGCTTATTTAGATAAAACTAATAACATTTGTTGAGGAGTACATAGTATGAAGATCTTCATTATATAGTTTTGTCCATGCTCCTGTCACTTCGTCCTTAATTCTGGAGCTGTAGCCAGAAACTCTTACCATTAGGCGACAGAGACGGTACATTGCGCAATATGAATTCATCCTTAATATCCAGTTCTGTCTCTTTAATATGAATTTTAATTTTATACTCGAATCTATGCCAAGGAATTTAAGTTTTATCTTCAGCCTTCCTGCCAGAACACTTTCCTCTCCCATACCAGCTATATTCTCCATATATCTCATCCTCTTTTTTTTTTCATAAGAAAATGTATAATCATGTGTCTGTTAAGTTCATTTTAGTGCTTAATATTATTTGCAGTACTCCATTTCTAGTGTTCACTTC